ACATGAAATATCCCTATCTAGTAGTCATTATAAATTTAGCATTTAACATAAAGAATGTGTGAAGCATTACTAGTGTTATATAGGTGATTGTTTATATTGTAGGTTACTAATGATTGTAATACATGTATCGCATATCCTTCACTTCAGGAAAAGAAATGAATTCAAATAAATGAAGTCTTGTACAAAAATATTTAAGAAACGAGAATCGGAGCAAAGTATAAAATACTAAAAATAACTTCTTATCAAATTAATTAAAACATAGTTTGTACACACAAGCGTTTTATTGTTTTATTGTTTTATTTTTATCAACGTCACTGACAAATACGTGCCTACAGTGTTTGATTTCAAGTACTATTGTTGTTTTAAATAAACATACAAATGTTTTATAGTTTTAACAATGAATTACCATGTCCTAGCTAATTTGAATTACATTCATAACTCTCTAAAAATAAAATACATTCATTTGTCACAAGCTAAATAGTATAGTATTGTTAAATGCATATCATATCTTTCATCCAAATATTGTTTCAATAGTTGATATAATCAATAGACGTCTGATATATACATGTACCTAAACATGACACGAAATTATAAAAACAAGAAAATCACATTGAACAACATTTGGTTGTGACATTTTATTGCAACGCCCTTGCTTTGAAAGAACTATCATTCATATAATCTTTGTATGTATGGACGTTTTTAGTTGTGAAACCACAGATATTTTCTTATTTCATTATTCAAAAGTGTAACTGTTTTGATTTTCAACATGACGAGGTATTTTATCATGTTAGTATGATGATGACTCGGTCAGCCAGTCTGAGAATTTCCATAAAACAATTCGACAACCACTTGAAGTATGACTGGGCCAAGCCTTGAAGGAAATATGTGGTCTTCCTACACATTCAGAGTAACTCTCGGACAAGATGTCACAACGAAGGGTGGAGAAAGTAATTTTCTAAAGTAAACATTATAATGGACGACACTTTTCTCTGTTATTATCTCGGAAAGTCCAAAATAATAGTCGGACAAAGCTAGTTGCCTAGAGGTTACACCTGGACGTCCGCTTCGTAGCTTTGTTTTACAAGGTTGTGAAATCACGTCCACGTTCTCCCGTTGAGAGGCTGAGCCAACACAGTTGTCAGCCTTTGTTAGTTTCGTATAATCATGACCCGAATCATCTAACATAGCGAACACCTCTGGCTTTAGGCGGTTTGTGCAATACGTCAACTTTATATGAGGTCATCCAACTGTTGTTGCTGGACCCCAAGGGACAGCGTCCACGTGTGCTAATTATTGACTACGTAAAGGGTCTTCTTGACCCTTTATGTAAACTGATAGCCTCAACTCCCTGACATGGACTGTACCCAGAATTTGTGAATATGTATGATCAATCATCTGTACGCGTCTTTAGGCTCCGCCATCCATCTCCTATTCCATACTCATCGTTATTCCCGTATCAATAGACCCTCTAGTGACACGATGGAACTGTAGCTGACCAAAACTTTTGTGAATGTCATATCTCATGAACCAACACACTATTACACCGTCTGACTTATAACATCACCAAAAATTGTTAAAGGAACATGTTTTTCTGTTAAAGTAACTACAAAAATGGTATGGTGAATTATTTAAAATATTTGGAATCACACATAAACATGTATCTTTATACCTTTATAAGGCTTATTTCATCTAAAAATCCAAAAACCTTGATAAGGTTTTGTTAATCTAAATATACAAATGTCGGCGCAAAGTTCACAATTTTGTTCTATCGAATGAATATTATCATCAAATTTTAAGACTGCGTAATGATATTTATGAAAGATTGGAATATATTGAAATATTTTATCTTTTTAGATCAAGAGTTTCATCATTCTCATTAAGAATTTGCTACACGTGAATTTCCTAGTACATATCGACCTGAACAAGATATCACGTTAAATTACAAGGACGAGGTTGGAACTCAGGTCAGAGAGGCAATTGGACCCGCTACAAGTGATGGAGATCTGGGATAGAACATCATCCGTCTATCTATATTTTTCTATATGCTATGTCCGCTTCCAAATCAGCAAATTTATGGCAGAAGATATTTTTATTTGAGAACTGAAAAAAGATCAAACGGTAGATACGGTTGAATTTCCCATACATGTCAACGCCTTAATAATTCTAAAATGTGATTGGTATTGTCACATTAACATCCCCTGTGACGTCTAATGACCTAAGGAAAGGACCAGGTCCTAAGGAAGGGCTCAATTTGTGTCCTCAATTTGTCTCGAGATGTCTCTTTAATATGTCGCTCTATGCTGGCACCCGTCGTCCAGGAGATACACCCATTCATTAGCACGCTTGAATATTCTAACTGTAAAAGATACACTAACAAATAAGTCTAGCTTTTCTGAATACCTATCAGAGCTGAAATGATAAGAACGTCGAATTTAGATTCAAATTCATCAAGTATTGTCAGCTTATTATACATATTGATAGAGATTATTAAACCAATTTTCTCTGTATTATATGTTTATGTATTGATATGTACACATGTATTGCAATTTAGTATATTCCAATTCATACCAGACAGTGTAATACTCTTTTGTTTATACATTTATTTATCAAATTCACAAAAATTATTTACTAAGAATTTTATGTAAAACTTACAGACATAAATTGCCTGTAATCCCTGCGACTACCCGAGTATGTATTATAACAAGGCATTGTTTGAGAAGAGTTTGGGCTAGTTACCAATAAAAAGATGGGCGATGTTGATGGCCGGAATCATCAGACCTCGATGGACAATCATGTCCACTTGTAATGTATTATCGGGTGGGGATCTGGTCACAAGAGGGATTAGTGTCCAACTTCCTCCAATTAATAGCAGCAGTCTGTGTATAACTTTACCCAAAAATTCAAAGTTTAGTAGGTCAAAGCTGTTTATTTCATAAAAAAAAGTAGACATAGGGATTGCTTTATCTCGGTAGACAATCTCCTACACGCCTGATATCGTTAGGGGATGAAAACGAATTTCTTAGTTCAATGGTTTTTTGACAGATCTGAAGACGATCCCAAACAGAAGTGAATCGAATATAAACGCTAAACGGCATGGATTCATTATCTTATCTCTTCAAAATGATATCTACATGTATTGATTATGTTTCTCTTTTGGCATTTATCTTAGCAAATAATTAATTTGTGAACATGACAAAATTCGTGTATTAATTCATATTCATTTGATTAATCCTCTAAGTGAATGAATATCAATAGGGACTATGTATTTAAACAGAACTGAATGTTTTTAAAATAAAAATTAACAAGGAAACTGTAAAATGTACGTACACAAATTGAGGTATCCTGCCTCAGGGGTAAAATACATGCGGTTTTAAACAGTTTCTCAGTTTCACGTAAAGCGTATTTATTATTCGTATTATTCAATAGTTTTATTTTAAAATATAAATATAAATGTTCAAAAAAAAATAATTAAAAGGTGTTTCGCCAAATGAAAAAAATGTACTTTAATGGTAAACAGCCATGCATCATTGTGATATGTAACTTATCAAATACCTGAATTTATTTCGTGTTTAGTTCAGGTACGCTTGTACAACCAAGAATTTTATCGCAGACAAGCATGCTGTTTTTTCTGTTTTTCTTTATTTTTTCTTTTAATTTTGACATTTGGTGCTTAATCGTTTGATGTAAAATAGTAACAGAGTGTGCCTGATTATAGTGCCTGATTGGTGTCATTTCCTTATTTTGCAAGAAAAAAACGAAACATGTCGGGCGCCTCAGCAGCGACTTACGATTGCTCTCAATTTCTCTTATTGCGTCGTTATTGCTATGCAAAGTGTTGGTCTTAAATGAAACGCTGATGGTAATGATTGTTATGTCGCTGCGAAATAAAAAAAAATGACTAAATGACATATATCTGCTTCCGTACCGAACAATTCCCTGCTAATATAATGATTAATAAGAAGGTTTTAGAAAATGTCTATTCAATTTTAGCCAGTATTGTTTTAATACTAAGAATGATAGGTCTAACCTAGTGTAGTTTATTACGCCTACCTATTCATTGAAATACAATATTTAATTGGTCGGGATCTACCCGTTGGATGGAACAGATATGTGTCGCAGTAAATGTTTCTTTTGGCACGGACAAGTCATTTTATATGGCATGGATCCAGCGTTCTAATCAGTACTTCCGAAAAAAAGGTGACTGTTTCTCACAAATACCTTTAGTAGCCTTTGATACACTGTTTTGTTATTCTTCGTGCTATTATCTCTACACACCCACATTAGGCATGACATATCATATGTGACATCAGCCTTTACTTCAGAGGTTGGTGATGGTTCTATATTGCAATAGTAACGTTGACCATGTCCTGTTTGTCCATCTTGCTGAGTGGATGACCAGGAGTGCCGGCTATGGGATTATTAAATAATCCTCAGTCCACTGTCCAATATTCATTTCTAGAAGAACCAATTAAGCATAAAATAGAAAATAGATGACGAGTGGAGAGACAACACGCCGTGACTTTCATTTTGTTGATAATCCTGTATTCTATATATCTGTTAGCTTATTCGTATTTTGTTAACATCTTATTTTCTTGTTTTTCCTAATTAACCAACAGTAAACTATTATATGTGAAATGAGAATGATATATATTTAAAACATCGTAAACATTTTCCGCAAGTGTTGTGAAATTTCAAATAAAAACTAAGACATCAACTTGCTTGTATGCTAACAAAGCGTGAATGAGGATGACTACGGTAGTGAAAGGGGGTGGAGAGTTCTCCGTCCAGGCTACGTAGAATTATTGACCGTCCCGTTGATCGGCCAGTCCATCAAACGAATATTACCTGTATGACACCCGCTCAGGTGAAACCCCGTCCTTGGATCGACGTCGTAGCTTAACTCATTGTTCCATATTAGCCAATCGGGTGGTTCCCTGGCTGTTCCATTAGGTTGTATAACAGGCGGAGTCGTATACGAGTACCCAGTGTGAAAAGTGTAAACACTGGGAACGTCACATACACAAATCTAGTTCACTTGACAGTTCGCCATCGCTATAAAGGACACTTACCATTCTGTTATTTATAAGTAATAATTGTCAAAAGGCCATTTCCCCGGGGTTTTGAAGAAATATCGAAAACTGTGATGATTTTTTAAAAATGTCGTCATAGAACTATTGAGGAAATGGACTTCAATATATGATACAATTTGTGTCATCAACGTTGTGACATTAACGACATTAGGTTCTGTATTCGTAAAGTATCAAGAAGATCACATATCAGCTGATTCAAGATGAGCGGCAAAGTATCTGGAATATCAAGTAAGTACACACATATTATATAAGGTTATTTTACCACTGAATTAAGCTATTTCACCTCATCATGAAAGTGCTTAAACGTTATTTTGTTTTTTAATTAATCTTTTATTTTATTTTCAATACCTGGAATCGTATGTTCCTTCTGTTGTATTTATACAAAAATAAATATTTAAGTTACTGTCACTGTTCTAAGTTGAAACCCTGAATATGTTATAATAGAAATAGAAATAAAATAAAACAATTCTCTATTTTACACATTTCTATAACAATTTCTGGTTAATCCCTAATAATATAAAATCCGTATGTTATTTTATAACACAGTAAAAGAATTAGAATTTTCAAAGTTGAATATAAAATCCGTAAAGTGATAATAGGCTTATTGACTTCAGGGGATATATTTTCTAATATATTTAAAAGTTTCCTGTTCTTGTGCCTTCAGTTTTTAAAATATTTCATTCATAATTACATTTGAGTGTATCGAATTTTGCACTTCGTTCTGTAATGAAATATATTATATTAATACAATAAAGTCATTTGATTTTAGTCATTATGTGTGTGGTTTTGGAGCACATTTTGATTAACCATTAGTGTAAGTAACTGTATTACGTGTACTTGCAGTGACATTAAAACTATTACGTACATAACGACTGATTTTGTTTATAACATACAAATCACGTTTATTCTCCTGGCTTCCCCAACAGTTTTACTGTAGGTAGACATACTATCTAACAATTTTGTTTGGTATATTATCACCTATTTCTATTGATGTACATTTATTTGTGTATTTGTGTGATTTTATTCTGGTTTGTTTATGTCTATTAACTTAAATGGTGGGATAGTTATAAATTCATATTGCAACTGCAGGTGTTCTTGAAATGCGACGGTGTTAGTATATGTGACAAATTAATGCCAGGCGTTTGTTTATGATACCAATTTTTTTTACATATGTCTTATTAAAGCTAGTTGTTTGTATATAAAACCAAGTTTATACATATGACCAATAAAAACTAGGTGTTTGTTGTAAATAAAACTAATGTTATACATGTGACCAATTAAGCTAGGTATTTGTATATGATACCAATGTTATACATGCGACTAGCTAACGTTATACATGTGACCAATTAAAGCTAAGTATTTGTATATGATACCAATGTTATACATATGGCTTATTAAAGCTAGGTATTTGTATATGATACCAATGTTATACATGTGACCAATAAAAGCTTGTATCAATGTTATATATGTGACTAATTAAGGCGTTTGTATTTAAAACCAAATATAGACAAAATTCCTAATTAGATGAGGAAATCTATTGATTATAGATGACATTACTGTTACTTGAGACACCTAATATTTTTAATTTAGTTTTGCCTCCCTTTGTATAAATGTTAATAACATCATGGACTGACTTAATGTAGATATTAAACCTGATCCACTCCTCACAGCGATGACACATCCATGAAGCTATATTTTATAACGAAAGGTTAAGAATCTGAAACTTTTAAAATGCCATGAAGAGCTTACCAATGCCTAAGGGACAGTGTGTTTCCCAACTGTCTTCCTGTTGTTGTGGTGATTTATTTGCGTAGGTTTCGTGTAACTTTTGTCATGATAGGCAAATGCACGATTTGCATGCAAACAGGATCGGACACTACAAAGCCGTAGCTTACCTTAATTAGGTCTGGGGGACATTTAACCGGCGATACTTCTTAGGCGGTCGCCTCATTCCGGTAAGTCAGGTCTGCTATAAAGAACCTAGCCGGAAAGGGGAGGAAATAAGACTGTTAATTGTGAAAACAAGTGATCCTTAATTACATAGGAACAGGTAGATGACAGGTATGTCAAAGGTATGAGGAGGAACAGGCGAGAAAATAGAAAGATAAAAGAAATTCTGAAAAAACGTTCTTATTTGTATATTTTCTGTGGCAGCCTTTTTATGAGTCATAACAGTGTTGTTCGTTAAATTATGTTACAAATTGTTAAACGATTTGTACATATGAAATGTCCTAACCAATAAATACATTTGTTAAATATCATAAGAGCATGAATTTACATTGCATATGAATATTTCGAAAAACAAAAGAATACACATATAATGTCGCCATAATGCAATAAAAAGGTGACGGAGTTAATCTGGTGTTATTGATTGGGTAGGAGGTGGATTAACGAGCCACAGAAGCCAGGATACCTGTCGTACAGGTACTTACCCTGGTGTCTGTGTATCACTAGGGGAGTTAGATCAAAGGCTCCTAGCAAGCAAACACAGTAAACCAGATGGGCTAGAGAGTCTGCAAAAATACCAATCACGTGTTATATAACTTATTTGTTTTGCAATGAATACAATGTTTAAACTATTCCAATGCTCAAATTGAATCATTTGGTTGCATAATATATTTCTTGCTTTTATAATTTTATTATGTAATATGTTGTTAGTATTTTAATTTACATGGTCATTTTTTTATGTAATTCCAGGTAGGATTCTGACTGATATCCCATGTGTCGTTTGTCAGGACCACTCCTCGGGAAAGCACTACGGAATCTACGCATGTGATGGGTAGGTACTGCACTCAACATCTACTTGGTTCTAGAGAAATGAAATCTTTTTTTAACTAAAACTGTTCACATTAAGATTCATTTGGAAAGATGCTTTTGTTTTACTGTTTTCGTACTTGCACATCATTCTGAAACATGCATTATTTTCTGCCATAACACTTTTTGTAATGGCTTAACGTCTAATTATGTATTTTTATTTACTGTATTTATAATTGTGTCTACACGTTTATAATTTCAGATGTGCTGGTTTCTTTAAGGTAATTATTTTTTAATTTTTCTTTAGGATATTAAGACACAAACTTGCTATATCGTTGTCTCTTAACGCTCATGAAGTTTCTTCATTCTGTCATTGCCAATATAAAAACAAAAACAAAATATCAAATTAACTTAGTAACACCTCAAGGTGTAACAGATTCCAATCTAACACGTTCGCGTGTGTATTGTATCGATAACTAACAGTCAATTATCGGAGAAACAATACTTCAATTGAACGTGTGCTCTGTTCCAATTAACGCGGATTTTACTCATTGGCACTGGTTTTATTTCTTCCGTCCAGAGACTTTATTGAGGTCGAAAAGTCTAAAATATTTATATGTGATAATTGACTTTGTAATATTATACGACTCTGTGGACAGGCAATCCAATTTCATTTTCCGTTCCCCTTTACGTGCTGCACTCTTTCCATGAATGTTAAATCGGATTGAGGTAAGCGTATGCATGCAATGTCCAAACGGTATTGTCACGACATTTCCCCGTAATATCCTAGTTAGACCGGAAGTGGCCACCTGGTGAGTCCCGCAGGCATTGCAGGAGGCGATGACGCCATTTCAGTTTATGTATTTTTCTCGCAAAATACGCGTGCAAAACACACCTCACTCTCATTAAAGTGACAATAACTTAGAATACTTGCAGTAGTCATTTTGGTTTAATGCAAACATTCTATATCCCGTAATCATGATTTAAGATAAATAGCTCCGTTTAAAGCAAAGCTACTGAAATTAGAAAATAAAAATAGCATTGCATATAAATTATCAATGATAAGGAACGAACTGAAGGTGCAATCATAATTTCACTTTACATAAGCAATGGAATGTAGGTGCAATTAAAACATCATTTTACGTAAAATATATGATATAAAGTATCATGTTACAAATTAAGTAATTTACATTTTATTATTTTTTCAAAAGATTTAAACCTATAACTTTATTTGATAGGACTGCAGTATTTCATTTATATATTTAAACGATGTACTGAATATAATATAAAAAGAAAACAGAATGCCAGTATCCGTATTAGTAAAAGATATCACTGTTTTGGTATAGTATTCAATAGTTGTATATCTAGACATCATGGAATGGCGATTAACTTTACACTATAACGATGAGACAAGAGTTTTAACATAGGGGTAACATCCGCGGTGCCTAATCCCTGTTAATGCCAATGGCAGATCATACACGTCCTTCTAAATGTTACATACCCACTCGACTACCTGGATAGGAATCAAACATAGGGGGTAGGTATCATGGTACACTCATATATTTCTGTTTTTTGTCAACTTAATGCGGTATCAAGCATTTTGAATAAGATACTATCTAAATCACAGGAATGTGTATTATTTATTCTAAAGTCGACTTTACCTTAAGCGTAAGACAAACAAAACTAAATATAATGACGATGTATTGTTATTATAAAAGGTTAAGAAATATTACAATGATTATTAAGTATTAAGCTATCAACGCTCGACCAATTGAGATACCAACATTTTGAGAGTGTCGTCACTCATATACTGATCTCATTTAATCACCGACTTACGACATACTGACTACAAAGACTCGCTAACCACATATTTCTAAGGTCGCTTAACACATCTAAAAATTATCCGATCGATTCCGACGACTCGTGGCAGAGACTAAGCCGCGTGTTTGGAACATAAAGCCGCATATCTCCGTTAAGTTTACCACACGATTTTCTTTTCCCTCTAATACAGTTTGAACTAGTCACATCAAAAAAGACCTGCACTTGACTGGGGGAAAAGACCACACAAATATTCATTTTTGACCGGTGTAATGGATAAAAATATTCTTACACAAAGTGTCTACTGTTTGTACAATTAGATGTTCTTTTCAAACAAGTTTGGCACTTTTTGACAATATATTTCAAACGTTCTTGTGATTCACGGTAAACACAGGTCACTCCCCTAGATCAACATTATTTCTTTTGTTCCCTTTTATGAGGGAGGTCTGGTTTAAAAACTTTATAGTCGTGTTTGATAACGAACATTTATGATAATCCTCATCTCTGTTTGACACTATTCATGTGCACCTTCGCAAATATCAATAACGTTATTGATATCGTTGACCCTTGAATATGGCCATCGGTTGTGGAACGTTAGTACAGGGCACCAACATGACAAGCATGCTTTTACCGAGATTAAAGTGACCGCTAAAGTCATCTTAGTAGTATTTTACCAGTTGACATGAACGATTGAAATCTTCGTGTTTGATCAGTCAACTTAAATACTTAAGACGTGTTTCATGGGATTATTTACTCGTCCCGTGTTTTACTGGTAACTTGTTTTCACTTAAAGTTAATTCCATATATAATATAGTAGTCATTGATAACATAATTTCGGGAATGTTATTTGTTTTGTCATTAGTTAAGTATTGCATGTTACAGAGGTCAATCAGACGCAACAGACAGTACGTATGCAAATCGAGAGGTCAGGGTCGCTGCCCCGTGGACAAGACTCACAGAAATCAGTGCCGCGCGTGCAGGCTTGGGAAATGTGTGGACGCTGGAATGAATAAAGATGGTGAGTGTCTTTTAACTTTTTGTATTTTTTAAAAACGTGATTAGCATTGTTTGCATAATTATCCAATTGCATTATAACTTGCAAATCATAAACAAAAGTAAGAGGAATACTTGTTTCTATATTCCAAGGGTAAAATACATATTTGTATCTTACAGCTGTACAGCATGAGAGAGGGCCACGCAACTCCACAATTCGCCGACAGGTTGCTATGTATCTGAAAGAGACGAGCGAGTACGGGGGTTATCTCCCCCATTCTCCCTTCCGGCCCTCCTATCTAACGGGTTGTCTGAATGTAGAGCCAGTGGCGGACGGTATCACCACAATCAGTGCCACAGGACCACCCTCCCCCGTGTCTCCAACTTCATCCGGTCTTTTATGTCATCCTACAGCTAAGGTATGTATATACTACAGAGGCGCAGCTTAGAATGACATACAAAGTACAAATCATTCCTTTTCTTCTTTTCAAAAGCATTGCTTGACACATGTAGTAGTTTAAAATCATCCACTGTAGATAGTTGATGTTTCGAAGATGCTAGAAAAAATCGAGATAATGAGGGTCATCGAAATATCGTTTTTAACTGTAATAATAGATTGCAACCAGAAATCCAACTTCACATTTTTCGGATGTAAAGACGATACGCGATTGTAAAACACAGCATATTATGTACTGGAAGAATTTTCTTGGAAAAATGCAAAAAACGAAGTGAATAACTCTTTTGTTTTTTCTCTCTCTAAAATTACTGATGTGTACTTCGGTTTTATTTCAGTACCCACATGAAGTTATGCAGGCATATTCAAGTAATCCAGAGGCAGTGTGTGAGGTCGCTGCAAGACTTTTATTTATGAGTGTAAAATGGACAAAGAATGTCCCCGCATTTTTGGGTCTGCCCTTTAGGGATCAGCTACTATTGCTAGAGGAGGGCTGGCGGGAGCTTTTTGTCCTTGGGGCTGCACAGTTCCAGATGCCATTTGAAGCTGGTCCGCTATTAAGTGCTGCAGGTAGGGTATTTTACGTGTTACTATTACAAATTGGGAAAATAGTTCATATTACTGTATGTTACATAAGTACACTTTCAAATATATGTGAATTAAACTCATATCCATAACATATAATGAAAATCAAACTATATTAAAATGATTTGAAAAATTATATAATCTGACAAAACTTTAGCTGTGTTGTTTGCTTTGTCAGAGGGTATGTATCTCGCCAATACAAGGTTGTAAAACCATGTTGATATTTTCTTTTAGGTATTAACACAGACGAATCTCCTGCCGAGCAAGTTGTCAACATAATGACAGAGTTAAGAGCATTTCAGGAAATCCTTTCAAAATTCAAATCATTGCAAGTCGATCCTACGGAGTTTGCCTGCCTGAAGGGAATAGTTCTGTTCAAAACAGGTAACCATTTTATACGAACGTAGAGAAACAATCATTACTAGATACAGAAGAACATGGGATGTAAAACAGTCATCAATGTAAGAGACAGGGGCGAGTTCCCAAAGGACGTCAACTTTCATAGCGTAAATACAGTGTTCCTGATATGTCGACATTGTGTAGGGAAATTCACGTGTTGTAAGCGTTTAGTCGCATGTTGTTTTAGTATATTATTATACGGGTTATCAATCAAAACATGTTCGCTCATTTTGTAACTAGCAGTACGTTCTGCTACACTAGCCGTTTAATATTCTATTATTCTATTTTATAATGGGTTATGGTAAATGAAATACATCAACTAAATGGTCGTGATAATTTCTTGCAGCGTTTCCATCGACATCATCATCGGACGTAAAAACACTGAGAGACTTTCATACCGTTGCCGCTCTTCAGGATCAAGCACAATTGACTCTGAGCAAATATATACAAGTCACCTACCCAACGCAACCATTCCGATTCGGCAAGCTGTTGCTTCTCCTCCCCACCTTAAAATCCATATCCGGGAGCACCATTGCCGATCTCTTCTTCAGAAAGACAATTGGGTCTATCCCTATCGAACGGCTCCTTATAGACATGTTCAAATCTTCGGACTTTTGAAGACAAAATACCATTATCATTGTTCATATTTCTCATTAGTGCTCATTGTTCATTTCGGGTAAATTGTTATGTATTGCACATACTATATACATAATCAAATGTGCATGTATTTTTTAAAAATAATAATGATTTATAAAAGCAAATTGTTCATACAATCCCTAGTCAAATACTACATGATTCAATTGAAATCAAAGCATGTATCCATGTTACTTCTGGTCATTGAAAGTTAGGTGTCCTTTATGTCAAAAGCCCTAAAGAGGGAAAACAAATCCTAGTATATCTCGTGCTTTTTATAATAAATATGAAGGCTAATGCAGAAACGCATCACCTTATCAATATAGGAAGATATATATGCAATATCCAAATAAGATCATTAATCTTCAACAGTGTTTCTCATAGACAGTATATTCGATATTGAAAAGTAATTTATAACGTATTTTTAAATCATAAATATTGCAACTTCGTATTTAGAACAACAGATTACATTTCGAATAAAAGAAAATATTGTTTAGGAAAGTAACACCATTATATAAATAAATAAACTTAATGATGTAGTGTGATAATGTTGTCCTTGACTGACTTTTATATCCGCGTGCTAGGATTTCTTCTCGGTTGCAGGGGTATTTAACACCTGGCTACTATTACAACTTGTTAGTTGACTCGCTTCACAAACATTTCTGAGCACGATCCGTCTTTGTCATGTTCGACTTCACCTTCTGTGAAGAAGAGTCTGTATTGAATTAAATCTTCTGACTTTAGCCCCGAGCTTCTCTCCTGATCAAATGACAAATTAAAATTCGGTGTTAACAAGTCAAAACACTATCACATATCACATACCAAGGTACTTCAAAATCAAAGTTAACGTTTATCTGACTCAGTCTACAGGCAATGCGGCAAGGGGGACACAATACGTGTGAAATCCAACTCATTCATCAAACTTACTGGCATTATGGTATATACAAATATAATACCAGCTCATATCGAAAACCAGTCCAATAGTCGGACAAAAAATTATGTTCAAATATACACCATACAATCATCTGTTGATTGACTACACTAATGTTGAAAGTATACAATTAATACGAGAACTCTGTTGAATATGTTTATTATATTTCACGATGTAACTTCGCACTTCTATATACCACTTGGTCGTTCTTATTTTAACTTTCAAAGATCTTTAATATATATTGAACATGCGCGGTCACCTTAATTTTGTGCTTGTGCTGCGGTGTACATACCAGATATATATAGACATATATGTGTTGCTTTTACGGTAATTAGTTCGCAAATATATTATGTGCAATAAAATATATGTTATGTAAATTTCATCACAGTTACCATGCTCAAACTGTTAATGGATGTAAAATGTTTATGAAATAATAAAATGATAATACGATATAATGGTGTATTGTGTTTAATTTAACATGACGTTTTGCATGTACGCCTCTTTATTCTTATACTGGTAAGAAAAACTATTTGTTATAAAACATTCGGCCGAGGAAGGACAGGTGATGGGATTTCATTGGTGAAAATGATGTTTTAAAAGAGATATTTTAGATATTTATCTATCAATTGTTTAACCATCAGACCACTGAGTTTGTAAAAGATGTTCTTTAACATACATAAACTAAAACAGTGTACAGTAGTGTCTGACTTAATGTAAACACACAAAGGGGATTTCGGGATTCCATGTCGGTTCAAACAAAATGAAAGTCACCATTGACCTCCACATACATCGAAAGAACAGGTCAAACATGTTCTTCCCCAAATATGGCACAAGTGACAATGTCCCTCCAAATCCGGGAAAATCGTCAGTCTATATCAATCGAAAACTAATATTTATTATTTCTTTTTACTAAAATATTTTAAAACAGAGTTCAAATAAAACAGACCTAATACATGTAAATGAAAAAAGTATCAACATACACAGATTAGACTATTACTGTAATTACACATTCTATGGAATAAAGTAATAGACAAACAGAAGACATTCAAAAGCCACTAATATAATCGGTTCTGTTTCCGTTTCGCCTTATACGGCATGCTGGAAGAGCAATATCACCAATGCTGACGACTTGGTGAAAAATAAAATACAAAAGGCTTTGGGGATAAAATGAATACAATAAAAGCAATAATGTCTCTTTTGTCAAAAAAACATTAACTTGTGAACAATGTTATAGATCAGAATACAATATCAATATCAAAGTTATAGATATATAACGTCAACATTACAAAGCTAATCTATCAATGTCGGGTCAACAAGTAATATTGTATTATTTTCATAAAGGAAGTTGGTTAATTATAGTATAATGACTTAAACCGATCACTCACTAAATGTCCGCCATCAATAATAGGGGCCCGACATAAGAATGCCAGAAATGTATTAACTTTGAGGTAACAGTGCCTCTAATAAACAAAACGTCTTGGGCCACACAGGAGGTTATCGGACACCTCATGGGAACGAAATGGTATAACAAAAAAAGATTCTTCAAAACGGACTTTCCAAAGCTATATTTGCTCCGCCATTTTATTCAGTACATATACCCTGTAGGCTTTTTGACATCAATTAAAAGGGTCATATCACAAAGTCGGTAGTGAAAAGTATTGGCAGCTTTTTTAAAACCAAATTTTCGATATTTGTATGAAAATCTTATTTACACCATTTTTTGGCAATAATAATAAATGTATCAATATAAACAGAGTCAGGTATCTATATCATCCTTAAAGCAGTCAAGTTCTGTCACGCAATTAAAAAGAACAGATGTCGTTTTTATATTAATTACGAATTTCTGACGGAAAGATAACCATGCTTTTTCTGAGGCAGTAACAAAAAAATGTAAAGGAAATGAAGTGCCCGTATATTAAAAGGAGTGTAGCGCTCTTGAAAAACAGCAATATCCCTGACACCAACGCCTTTGGAATTGAAGGTAAAGGGGTACCGGGGAGTCACCAGTAAGTGGAGTCGATGGTTAATCAAGTTCTAATTAAATTAAAAACAGTAACCTAAGTGTTATACTTTCTGGAGCCAGTTCCCTTTTGACTCATGACAGATAGAAATTTTAAGGATGTGAAAATGTTTCAATTTCTTTCAAGTTTGTGAAAAGTTCCGAGTAGAGTAAATAATTATCGACGTGTGAAATTGAACTTCTTTTTAAGATGTAAGGAAAACTCACACGGAGTCAACAATTTTGTGTAAACGTCCTGCTGGTTTTGATATTAAGTATAGAATATTCATAAGTCTAGCCGAAAGGGGGCGTTTTTATTTAGATTGTTAATTGCCTTTTTGTAGGAGCAAGTGTAAAATTAATTTAATTCAGTTCACTCTCAAAATATTATTAGAATGATTCAAACAAAACCGAAGAGGTAAAATACAAAGATATGAAAAAGTGAAAAAAAATAAAAGATATGATTATTTCAAACAGCCATGCAGATCCTAATAAAATGATAAAATACACACACATTATTTGGACACTTTTTCACTTTATACAAGCAGCGCATATATGTTTTAGTAAATTATCATAAAGAAGCGTTTAAAAGTTTAAATCAGACGTATTGATGTTTTCTCCGTTTTAATACCTACTGACTGATACTTTACTTTTACTTTAAACATATGTATTGCCAATAAAATTGAACAAGGGATTAGGCACAAGTTATTACAACTTATGACAGCCTTCTCCCGTCATACATTTACAATTACATGTCAACAATGATTATAGGCATAAACATGAAGTAGATATATATATATATATATATATATATATATATAATATTCACACAGGTACAAATACACAACTTTAAAAAAGCACCGTTCCAAATCTTACTGACTGATCTTTAACCTTCGTTTATTCCTTCTATTTACTTTACAAGGATTGTGAAGCGCGTAATTTTGCCAATGCGTATTTTTGAGAAATAACTAATAACTCACTGACAAAGGCAGACCTGTTTATACGAACAATATAAACGAAGTTAAAGTTGGGTAGAAAAACGTCCAATGACCTTAACTCTGCCGTTTTTTTTAATCATTTTTCATTTTTTCATTTTTTTTTTGTGAGGGTGTAATCAGTTTCACGATATTCCTTTACTTAGAGAAAAATCATTAACCCAGACAGATTTTTCCACTAGAGAGCAGTCAGGGAAATTAAAAAAATGAAGAGACATTTATTTTACCTTCATTAATGCATTCGTGAAGCCATGTCGGCTTACAAAAATCTATACCGCTCTGAACATACCCTACTGCCTTTAAAGCGAGATAACTCTTACCATCTACAAACATAAAAGGTCGATTTCACTCGAATTTCATTTTGCCTTTGAAAGCTAAGCATCAACCTAGTATTCTTCAGTACAGGTGCACTAAGGAAATATCAGTCTGGAAGGCATCCTATCATTGATCAAACCTAGCCCCGGTATATGGGTAAACAAGTGACGTTTTTTTAAACAGTGAGTGAACAATTATTATCAGTCATTTTAACAATCATAGAAAACGGCAGACAAAAAACACAGAGAAATCTAGCATAGCCTAAAACAGCATGATGGGCCCCCAGGAAAATTAGGATAATGCAGACTCAGAAAATTCTGAGTGTGGACAGGTATCCCCTACTACAAATTGCATTTCCTCCAATCAGATAATACTCTATGTACTCTTGGTACCTTTGGATGTATTTTTGGTCCCTTTGATCTGGATTTAGGACTGATACGTACTACATTTGTGTATATCAGGCGTGGATAGAAACCTCGTATCCATACTGTTGTAGTAAAACTACCTAGGACACGAAGGGGAATACACCTGTAATTAAGTATGCATGTGATAACAGCTGACGGACAGGGAGACATTTGATTGGTCCGTGACGGGTCACTCAAATAGGACACATGGTGAGATCAGGATTGGCACGAGATTACCCGAGAATAGGCAGTCATGTACACGTGCGCTGGTAGCACAAGCATTAGAGGTAAGTCATTCTAAAGTTTCAGGATTTTATAAGTATTTGTAAAAGTTATATAAAAGTACCTAGTGTCTTTTATACAGTAAATGTAATGTATAGGAATTATTATTATTATTTAGATTAAGGGTAATTACTGTATTTTTGGTTATGTAATAGCCATGTGAATTAATAATTGAATAATTAAATTTGAACAATAAATTGAATTTGAACAATAATTGAATTTGAACAATAATTGAATTATTATTATTATATGAATTGAAGGTAATTACTGTATTTTTGGTTATGTAAAAGCCATGTGAATACTTTAAGGACATTGAAGGTCATTAGTCAATAATGTTAGTAAAATATGATTGAGATTAAAAAAATATTATTTAGGTTATTGATTAATGTCATTGTACCAGGGTTTTAATACTATATTATTTTCATTTATAGAATATGATACAAATCATCCTTTCATCATGAGGATGAAAATGAAAGAGTCGGTAGACAAGCCCTTGTCCATTTGTAGGGGTATATGTTGATAGGTTTTACTTTTCTTATCTATTGGAATGTACATATATATTTAAATGCAACTAATGAGACATTCCGTAGCAGATTGGAGATTTTTCACATTTACCGTGCCTGATTTCCAAATGCAGATGTTCCACGTTTTTGATATCTCTCGTTGACTCACTTTATATGATAGTGCATCTTGCGCAAGAATAGGTCCTCTACATCAGCGTTCCTTGTCCGCGATTCTCTCAGCTCAATTGCTGCCTTCGGCTGTCTTTAGCCGAGGGGACTATTGGTTTTATATAATAGCTATATTTTCTCTATAGTATATCAATTCTATCTTCTTGTAATATGATGTATATGTACATGTAACTGTTCTGTTTCACTGTGTCTTGAAAAAGGAGCGGGTCGCTCCGAAAATTTGACAACCTAAACTTGTCCACACTGTTAGAATTACTTCTTTGCCCCATATATATTTAAATGAGTATATCTCCGGGGAGCTAAACTGTATGTGTAAATTACCATATGGTATATCTTCAATAATTAATCATATTCAATAATGAAAGATAGCTGTATTCTTTCGAAAAGTATTTCAGAATATACATAAGGAATGGAATAACATTGATAAAATATATGTTATGTGAAACAAGTATATTTTAAGAATAGGGTATAATTGTATAATAGTTTGAGTAAGAGTAATTTCCCTTGGTATGTACGAGAGTGGCATGTGTGTACACACCTGTTTGGAACTATGTTTACTCGGTTACAAAAAAACAGGGACATGAGAATCAACCACATGAATCTGACATTTAAACTGTAAGTCAATTGACAACATGCGTCTACAAAGTACATCTGTAGCTTATGAAGATGTTTATACTAAAGTACCTCGCAAATGCTTGTTTACACTTAATTATCAGATTACTGTGTATCAATGCTGTCTAGGACGTATATAACTGTACAT